TTCTGTCAGCTCTGTGCTTCATTTGAACTATGCATGCAAGAGGAAGAACCTGTAGCCTCTAATTCTACCAGTGGAGAAGAGAGAAGTATGCTCAAAAAGAGAAAAGCAAGCCAGTGGAAGGCTCCTTAAGTGCAATAAGACTACTTTGTGTCCATTGTTCACTTGATTTACTGAATGGAAATATTTTATTCCTCATTCCCAGATTTCCATATTCAGGTTTATTTCTGAATCTGACTCTTGCTCTTTATAAGAATAGTCAGGTGGCTCAGACTCAAGTCTGGGTACAAACAGCACAGAAGAAAAATTCCTTAGCTTAAAATCAGTTCACATAAATCCATTGAAAACCTACTGAATAGCCCTGTTTTGACTTCTATGGACCTGTACTGTGGTTTTAAATGACATCTAATTTTGTGAATGATATTAATTAAAACCCTTAATGAAACTCATATATTTATCCATTTAAGACATGGTGAAGATACTGTTAATCATATTGTACAGTTAGGTTGTCATTTGTACATTTAGACTTAACTTAGGTTTCAAACCTATCTTTTTCCTAAGAAATGCAACTTTAAATCCTATTGTCATGATCTGTCCTAATCCCTAAAATTAGGCCAATGTCTTGTAAATCAGGGTCAGGAACTTCATTCTGCTTTAGTATGGCTACATCCTTACCAACAGGCCTGCACTCTGTCTAGTCCTCTGTAATGCACATGGGCATTAGGAGATACCAAATCCCTAAACCCCAGATCCTGTGATAGAATGACGTCTATCTCATGCTAGAGACACTGCCCTGGACTAAGTGCTTTGTAATCAGTACTTTTCAGACACCTACTCTCCATATACCACTTGAGTATTGACTTTACCAACATTGGTATCAGGACCAGCTCATTTCCTTCCGATTGTCCACTACAGAGGTTTGCCTAGATATCATGTCACACCGCAGTGAGCCTCTGTATCCCAAAGAACCTATATTTCTAAACCCAATCTATCTTATCATCATCCTCCAAGCCCTGTGTTACATTTTTTACCAAAAACAAAGGCAATTCTCGATTAGGTATAATTCCCTATGGATGACTAAAGTTTATGCAATCACTACGAATATTTGCAAAGTATTCTCTGAATATGCCGCAGTATATGAGAGCAAAGGTTTGGGGGGATTATTCATAGTTATCTGATACTAATATCCATTTTGTTAAAATTGAGATAGTGCCTACTACAATTTTACAAGCAAGGGCTGGAGATTTAGCTCAGTGGTTCCGCTGCCTGCCTCACAAGCATAAGGTCCCAAGTTAGATACCCGGTGCCCAAAAAAAAAAAAAAAAAAAAAAGGCATCAGTTTTACAAGCAATTTTATATCCTTTTCACATTGTAAAAAATAGGTATTATTGAACATCTGCTATTTATTTTCTTCTAATCATCTTCAGAGAGTAAACTATGAGTGATTATTCTTCTACCACTAAGTTTGGCAAAGAAGCAGGAAGAACAGAAATATCTGCACTTCTTTTCTGTGCCTCTAAGTAAACTTTAACAATCTTTGTACAAGACTTTTCTAGAAAATAGAAACTTATTATTAAAATACTGGTATTTTTATTACGTCATGAAATAGCTATAAAACCCAGAAAAGATTTTAAGAAACTCACTCTATAGAGTTATTTATAGAACTCTCTATATAATTCTTGTATTTTAAAAGTATGACTTGAAAATTTCTAATTGGAATCTAATCATAGAAGGCCAAAACCATCTAACCCTTTGAGCCATCTGTTTTGATTGTGAAGATTATTTTCATCTTCCTGAATTATTAGGTCATTTGTTTGAATGTATGTGCTGACTTTGCACAGTTACTTGTGTTATCGGTGAGCATGCGTCGCGTGCCTGGAAGACCCTTCCCTCAGCTCTCCACACGTGCCATCTCACTGCACCGCCCTCACACACCAAGGCAAGCTCATGGCACTATTTTGTAGATGAGAAAACTGAGGTTCAGGTAGCTCTCTGAGGCATCTCACTGTCAAATACACTTCCAGTATAGGCATTCTGGATGAGTAGGTGGGGGAATACTATTATTAGCATGGAAATGTTGACCCAGAGAATATTGCTATTGCAAAAAGTATTTTATTTTATTGAAACAGATAAAGTGTTATACACTTCTATTTTTATAATATACATTATTAATAAATAACAATTCATAGGCAAGTCAAACTTCAGGCTCCATCAGTAAGCTACAGGATCCATAATTGTCACTACCATGCTTCAAAAAATTACCAGGATAGACATGTGAGTCTGTCCTATTCAATCACTTGGAGTGATATTTCTTTACAATGTCTTCCCCAGACTCGAGTTTTGAATTTTGAAGTGCTGCAGCTCATTAAAAGTAGCAATACTTATGTACATTTCCTCAGTTTTGTTTTGTTTTGTTTTTTAGGGATGCAAACCATTGACCAGTAAGGGAAGTTAAAATTAATGTTCACAGTGCTTTCTCCTTTGGGAAGGATACTTTCTACAGAATGCATTATTCATTTGGGAGGTTATAATAAAGCTGGGACATTTAAGTAAAATATATTCACAGTTATTAAATTTGAAATACAAATATAAAAACATACAAACACTACCCATATGTAGTCTTCTGAAGAAAAATTTTAAATCATCTTAGCTTTAAACCTTATGTTCATATATTTTCAACATTAATGAAGAGTTGTTTATTTTTAAATTAATGAATAAACCCTATTTCATATGATATGCCATTAAAGGCGGCAGCAGAAACAAGATTCAGAATTTATTTTATTGTATTATTTTGTTTGCTTTTCGTATCTCTCTGCTTTTCCTTAAGAATCTGTTTTCTAAAACATTTTTTCAGGCAGTGTCTGCCCCCTGTGGTAAGCTGAAGAGACAGCAATCCCATAGGCCCAGGATGTGAGTGTGAAGCACCGCGTAAAGCCAGTCACGTGGCTCCCTTACATGTGGCAGGGACCGGGAGGACAAGGAGGGACAATAACACGTGGGATGCCCCATGCTTCTACGGGATCCACAGCATTGCAGGCCCTCCCTGTATCATCTTCCTGGGCATCCCTGAGGACATCTGGAAAATCATTGGCCCAAGGAACAGTCACACTGAGGAAAGAGGCCTGAGAGACCGTATTGTTGCTTAAATTTCTTAAGCAAGAAGGGAACTGTCCTCACATGGCTAAATGAAGACCAGGCTCAGTTGGTCAGTTAAATAAATTGTGCTTTGAGGAAAAATACAAATGATAATGTAACTTCTCTATATTTAATATGTTACTTTATTAACAAACAGCTTTTTAAGTATCCACAAAGAGATATATAGCTAGTTAAAATACAAAGTTATGCAAGCATCAAACCGAATGTTTTGTATTTGTCTGAAATGGTGATGTTCAAGCACTATTTTTATCAAAACGTTTTGTCAGCACACTGAATATGCTTGTAAGCAGTTTGTGGAGAATAAGAGGTTAAAGAAAGTGAAAAAGAACGAATTTATCAGCACTGATTCTGGATGAATCTATGTCATCTTTATTAATTTTTTATAATTCATTTTTCCTCTGAAAGAACATTCTAGTAACTGTGGTAGTGTTTCTATTCAGAAATGGGAATTAAAATAGCTGATTTTAACTAGATGTGATGGGAAGAAGTAGGCCAGCTCCCAGGCATAATAAGCAGCAATGGAAGACAGTATGTCACCCAGAGGCTCACTCATGTGCCACGTGGTCTTGGGTAATTGGTTTAACCTCTGTGCACAATTCCCCTAGCCACAAAATAGGGTTGATTATATTACTAAGTGAGAAAACTCGGGGTACAGAGGCAATGCATAACCACAGAGCTCTTTCAAGAACTGTGTTTCCCCAGAACTGTCCTACGAAAGTAAGAGTTCTTAGTTAAAGAAAAAAAAAAAAAAAAAAAAAAAATGCGTGTGTGTGGAGAGGGCAACATGAAAAAAACTTTTGAAGTGATGGATAAGTTTATTGCCTTGATCGTGCTGACAATATCACAGATACAGGTGTATGTCCAAACTAAAATTCATGATTTTTAATGTATCAATTATATTTCAGTCAATCTAAAGAGAGAGACAGAAAGACAGAAACAGGAATAGAGAGAGACCCAGCAAGCTATAAGGAGATGTAGTCTGGGCTTAATTTGTTATTCAAAAGGATTGTTCTGTCTAAGACTGATCCATCAGAAATGGGGAGCGACAACTCCTTAGGAACTTGCTCTGACCCCACACACACACACAAAAAAAAACAGTTGGACAATTTCCTTGCTTGCATCCTACCCACATTATATTTATAGAAAAATATTTGACAAATTTGATTCTCTAAAGGAGAAAATAAAATCATAGATGAAGGAAAAAAATCATCTGACAAATTTAACCCTTCCTTTTGTCATACCTATGTAAGGCAATGTGCATCCCAAACACGAAAGATATCAAGGATTCAAGAATTTGCAGACCCATAATGATACATAAGGTCCTAATGATATAATTGACAATGTGAAATAGGAAGAAAAGGGCTAAAGGTGTAGGGGAAGCAAGTAGGATAGGGGACAGGTAATAAGGGAAAAAATATAAGAAAATGGAAATAAAGTATTTGTAAATAGAGAAGGGAGTGGAGGTGAAGGTAGGGCAGAGACAAGGGGAAAAAAATGAGAACCAAGACCTGTCATGAAAAGGTACAAGATCCCAATGATGAATGTAATTGTACTGTATACCTAAAATGTACCAATAAACTCAAAGAGAGAAATATCCTTCTTAAATAAACTATTTGATCATGAAGTCTAGCCAGTCAAATAATAGATCAAAATGAAGAAATAGAGAATGGAGAAGATGTAGTGAATATTGAATTTATTCTCAGATTACAGAAAAAAATAAATTCATAATTTTAATAAGATACAAGTACAATTTAAGACAAACTAGGTTCTAAAAGGGAAGAGTTGCTATCATTACATTTTCAAGGAACAGAATCAGGCAATACTACTCTTAAATTAAAATATTAAAAAGTAGAACTAAAATAACACAAAAACTCGAAGACAAAGTTAGAAAAAGACAAAAGTATAGACAATTATTTAAGAACCATAAATTAAAATGAAGTGGCATGTATAGTAAGAAATGATTTTAGTCACCTTATATTCAAAAGACCATTTAATATGTGAGCCCATAACCACCATGACACCGAGTCAATTAACATGTCATTGTCAACAATAAAATGTAAAGAAATGCCACTTATTTATTGCAGCCTTATTTTCTTTTAGACAGCAGATTTGGGGGCTCCCTCTGGTGGATGAATGTAATATAATTTTCATATTTGCACTGCAAACATTTTAAATCAAATAAAAACCTATAATCTATATTGAAATACCTTCCTCTGGAATGTGAAATCTTGGTGCCCATCATGGGCTGGTGATGGTGATGAGGCTGAGAGTGATGATGACGATGAAGGTGGTAAAATAGATTCTATTCAAACCTTTGACTGAGTGCCACATTCACAGGTGATGTGATCAAAAGGATCTGGCAAAAACAAGCAGAACGAGGACCATGTGAATATTGCAAAGTGTAACAAGTTTTTTGAGACAGGGTCTCACTATGTAGTTGAGACTGATCTGGAGCTCACTATGTGGACCAGGCTGGTCTCGAACTCCCAGCGATCCTCCTGCCTCAACCTCCCGAGTGCTGGAATTACAGGCGTGAGCCACTATGCCCAGGTGTAATGAGTTTTGACACTGGTGCCTTCCCTCCAGAGCAGTCACCCAAGCTGCAGTTGAAATCCTTTGAGCCTAGCTGGGGCAGTGAAGGAGTGCTGCACCAGAACGCAGGGAGCAGAGCTCGGGAGCAGGGGTACTGGGCCACAAGCCCATGGACAGCACTCCAGGCCCAGCCTCTGAATCCATGGTGCCTGCCCAGAGCTCTGAGCCAGTCATGTGAAGGCAGCCTGAAAAATCTCTGAAATGCCTTCAGGGTCACTTTGCCGCGGCCTTGATGAATACCACTTGCTTTTTTCTCTTCATATGATCCTTTTATGAGAGTCACTTGGCTGCATCCTTGAACTCTTTGTTCTTTTAGTCTTTTATTCTTTATATGGCCAAGCTAAAAATTCTTCAAATTTTTACATTCTGTCTCCCTGTAAATTTCATCTTGCAATCGTTTCTTCACTTTACCACATACAATTCAAAGAAGCCAGAAGCCTCTTTAATATTCCACTTAGAAATTTCTTCCATAAGATATCCTAGTTCACTGCCCTTACATTCTACTTTCCATAAACTTTCAGGAATGGACACAATTCAGCCAAGTTTTTAGTTACTTTATAACAAAGATAAACTAGTTTCCGATACCGGTTCCTCACAGGCCTCATCAAAAAGGCCTTTACTGTTCATATTTCCACCACCAGCATTCTGGCCGTGATCATTTAAATAATCTCTAAGAAGATTTCGACTTTCCCTACAGCTAGTCTCTTCTCAGCCTTCACCAGAACTTCCTTTAGTGCTCTTCCAAATTCTTCCAAGCTCTGCTCATTACCCATTTCCAATGTGTACTTCCTTACAGTAGGTGTTTGTTACACTAAAACTCCTCCGGTATCAATTTAGGTCTTACTCTCTCTGGTCCTGCTGTAACAAAATGCCTGAGACTTGGAACTTTATAAAGAATAGTTGTTTATTTTCATAGTTCTGAAGGCTTGGAAGTCTAGTATCAAGACTGTGGCATTTGGTAAGGGCCTCTTTGCTGTATCATCCCATGGTGGGAAAGGAAGAGAAAGAGGGTGCAGTTGTACATAAGAAAGAGAGGACTCATTCTCTTTTAGGGAACCTACTCTCGTGATGACAAACCCATAACAACATCATTAATCCATCCATGAATGCATGTCAGTCCTAGCCTAATCACCCTTAAACAGTTATGTCTCTCGACACTGTAAACAGAGGATTAAATTTCCAACACTGGAATTTTGAGGGGCACGTCCAGATTACAGAATATGCCAAACAGCAACAACAGACATGCTCCATTCCAGCAAATCAGCCTTAATTTTTTTCCTTTTTCTGTTTCTCTTAAGAAATATAAGAATCTATATCAGAAATCAAATGAACAACAATGATGCTATTATAAAGATAGCCTGGAATGTACAATGCTCCTGCCTTGTATAGTATCACAAACTGAAAAATACCACTAACTTGTAACATATCTCACAGTGGATCTCAGCATTCTCAGTGTGTTCCAAGAGCATGTTTTAAAAATGTTCTTCTGTAGGTTTCTTTGCAGGACAGTGGATTTTTTATATAACTTTAGTGTATTCATTCAATCCTCACACTATTCTTTCAAGTAGGAGACAAACTTATTATTTCCTCCACAGTTATTATTACTTTCACATTAAGACCACAATTCAAGCCATCTGTTTTGTATTGCACACCATGAAAAAGAATCTGCTGTATGGATGGCTTTTCTGTGTAGCAGACCATGCATTTTCTGCGTGCACGAGGAGAAAAAGAATAGGAGAAGTGAGGGAGAGAACGACTTAGTCTGCAAAAGTAACATTTAGAAAATTTGTCCTGCCTTAACTGCTCTACAATTAGAAATGATGCTGTTATAAAAGTATTTTTCAGGGTATTATCTACTAATTTATTTTTTTTATGATGCTTTATAAAAAAAAACTCATAAAGATAATGAATTAAAATAAGTCCTGGGAACTGTTGCATTGTATGTCTTCCTTGAAGAGACAAAATGCTCTTTTCCTTATTAATTGTCCAGAAAAGTTCTTCAGCAAAGAACAATATTTAATTTTGTTTTACTTATGTTAGTAGTATTTTATTCACCATAGAAAATTTTTCTTCTGTCATTCCAGTTAACAAGAATTGGAGCTGGCTTCTGAGGACCATGATTTAAGAATAGCTACATAAGATAGTATCTATCTCATTGTCCAAATAAGCAGGTGCTCTATAGATGTTTCCCTCATATTTGTTTGTATGAAAGGGAAACTTCTTGTGGAAACCTCCTTCGAAGTCCTTCTCCTAGAAACTGAGACATATCCAAAATATAACCAAAAAGAATAAAACTGAGAAAATGTTTATCAGTTTTGAAACTAGTAAATACTGCCAATACTATATTACTAATTTTTGGCAGCAATCACTACCAAATACAGTAAATTTAAATTAGTGGAAAGAAAACATCAAAAGTTGATGTGCAATTTCCTTTCCTGAAAATGTGAAGCTTTCATGGAAGTAAGTAAGACAAATTTTGCCAGTTCTCACAAAGAGTGAGTAATAGGAAACAAGGCTACAAGCACAGAGGATAGGCTTCTGCCATAAAATGTCCCTGTCCCAAGCTAAGCAAATGCAGATAAATGAGCAGTAGCTCCTCAATATGTTCTTATTCGTTGTTCCACATTTCAGTCTTGTCAAGAGTAACATTTTTCCAACATGGCAATTTTCATAAATACAAAGGTGATTGTGTTAGATACAGGAGGTCATTAAACTAAGAATCTTTAGTCCCTGAAGCTTTGTTTCAACCTATTAAATTAGGTAAATCTAGCCAAATTACATTACTAATAAGCAATCAAAGGGTATTCCTTTCAGTGATAAGTGAAGGCCATACACGCAACCCATGCTCCATGCCAATTTACTCACAGAACTGACACAAAGTGCTGTATTCAAATGTGGTACATTTTCCCCCAGAAAAGTCCTTCATGGCCGTAGTTTTTCTTTTTATGCTTTCCTAAGGTGATGCATACCTCAATGTACCTGTAAATGTGAAGAATGGATGAATAGATTAAATAGCAGCATGACAAACAGAGGGGAAACCATGAAATAACTATCCACACTAATTTGGACAAAAAATCATTTTACACAATATTTTGTCTAAAATGAATAAGTAAAAAAGAAGTTTTTAAAAGTATGACAAAAGCAAAACATGCAAAACATATATTTAGCATATTATTTCCAAAAATATTTACTTTCCAGAAGAGAAGAAAAATTTAGAGAAACTCCAGTGTTATGAGAATTATAAATCTATACAGTAATGTAAATTACTATTTATAGGAAGTTTCCTTTCTTTTGCAGTTCCCAGGGACGTTAGCTTTACTTTATAAAAAGTATCCTGCTGGGCTGAGGATTTAGCTCTGTGGTTCCACCAGCAATAAAAGAAAGTACTGACAAAGCCATTACTCTACACAACAAGACATTACAGGAGAATGCATCCAGATTTCAAGGAAAATTTTACTTCTACGAACTTGAAGGAAAAAGCAAATATTCATGCTATTTTATATACATTAGTGTAAGACTAAAATAAACCCTGACCAAATAGCCTAAAAATAACAAAACCATAGACCCATATGACTGTAGATTTAACAGCAAAGATCAGTAATAACTTGTAGACATTTGTAATCTACTGTGCTACTGAAATTCCATTATATGACAACTTTATATTTATTATCAGAATGTAAAAACAGTTTAATGCAAGAATTTTTGTTAATATAGTTTTACCCACCAAGAAAACAAGGAAGAAAATACTCTCTAACCATTATTGGTACTAAGAAGCTACCAAACACACATTCTACAATATTTTTAAGTTCTTAATAAAGATCTGTAACATGAATTTTTAAAAATATAAGCTTGAACTAACAGAGGTATTTTTCTCTCAATATTGCTTACTAATATTTTTCTAGAAATGCAAAAATTATTGAAAATTTATCTCTGTAAATTATAGTTAATTGGAAGGAGACATTACATAAATAAGGGCTCATAATATGTTAAAAATTTTATTTGTAGATAAAATAATTTTCTACATAGAGAAAAAATAGTTACTAAAATAATTTAGAATAAGAACTCAGAAAATGCATCAGTTATATTTGATAAAGTTGATATTATTAAAACTAGTTTCATACATGAATAAACTAAACTAAATGTATTATATTCATAATAGCAGTTGTTAAACGATAGCTCTACAGACATCAAAATGTTATTACTGAGAAATGTTATGAAATGTGGTGCTTTTTTGTTTTTAGTTGTCTGAACTGCTTTTAAAATATATTGATTTTATAATCAAAACTGAAGAACTATTTTTAACAATTCAGAAACAAAATACGTTAGAATATCAACAAAATTTACCATTATATTTTAATAGTTGATGCAAATTAAATACTTCATAGAATTTTTTTAGAATTGGAAGAGTTTTTAGAAGATATGTAACTCAAACTTACCTTTTCAAATAAGGTTTCAAATAAGCTCTAGCTTCATAAGCATAGGACTAATCTAAGGTTTCTGGTCCATTATAAAGCAATAGCTAAAACTCAGAAATTTTATTCATTTTTTTAGGACTTCTAATTTTGAGTCCACAGTTACTTTACTTTTTCTTAACTTCTCTTAACTATTCCACTCTTTCTGACACTAAAAATCGCAATTCTTAACACTAATACATTTTGTTTAATCTGAGATATTTTAGAGCATTAATAAAACAGTTGCAACTTATTCTAATACTTTGAGCTTAGAGTCAAGATCTGTCAGTGAAGATTCTGGGATTCATTCTAATATGGCATTGAAAATTCTTGCATGCCATTTTCTCTCCTGATACGTACTGTTCTATCACAGCCACATGATATTTTCTGCTAAACAGGCAAATTTAAAAATAGGAAAAACATTTTATTTTCCAGGTACCACTCTGGCTTCTGGTCTTCTTCCTCTTTATTCAGAAACAGAAACTACTAAAGAAAATATTCCTTCTGTCCTTCGTAAGCATATTATTCATTTGGTTAATCCATGCAAATTTCCAAAATACAAGATAAGGCTTCATTAATAAAATAAGTAGACCCATATTTCTAATCCATAAATTTTATTAAGAAAAAAGTATTTTTAAAATCTAATGGTAAATCCAAGCTTAGCTGAACATAGCCTCCATAGCTAACATCAATTATTAATATAATAATGGTCTAAATTGCAAAATGCAAACAATTAGAGAGGAGCAATTATACAAACCACCCAAGTGTAAGCAGTGCAGTTTAGACAGGGAAAGGGATGCTGATTCTGGTTGGTCCTCTCAGGATGCAGAGGCACAAGAGATGAGAGGCTACAGGTAGAGCTGAAGTGATTCTGGACTGGCTAGAGAGCTAAGCTTCCCACAGGTGCAGTGCTTAGGACACCTTCCAGGCCTCACCCACTCTCCTAGCGACTTTTTCAGTTATGTCTCTCTCCTTCCTCTGGCCTCAACACCCCTCCTATCCTGCTATGGCTTCTTGCATGACTGGAACAAAAATGAACCAATGGGAAATCTCTCCCACAGGTTCCCGACATTACACATACCACAATAAACACTTCACGTACTCTGATATCCTGTTAGGTTAGACCAACTGCCTGCATTCTCATCTCAGGCCAGCCTCTCCACTGTGGACTAGATTGCCTTCTTCCTAGCTTATCCGAGGAAATAGTGCCTCAAATCTCTCTTCTTATGCTGCACCTTCAATCAGCACACAGGTAAGTTATTATGGGATCATACTTAATTTTTGAGAGCACACACATTCAACTCTCTCGACTGATCTCTCCCTCCAAATTCTGCCCTTGTGCTTACTCGTTCCTCTTCTTCTCCAGCCTTTGCCCCTCTGCAGATCCAGGCTTAGATCAAAGTCTGTGAGAAGCACCATAGTGCAAAACCCATTCATAGATTCTCAGTATTCACCTCATTTAATTAGCTGGAAGCACTAAAAAACGGCCATTACCTGGCTTCCAAGACATGCTCCTGCTTTTCTCCCTCTCCGCTGGTTATTCTCACTCAGTGTGCATTCTAGTGTTTCCTCTGTTCCCAGGCTTGTTAATGCCCAAGTTTCTCACAGTTCAGTCCTTTAACCTCTCCTCTAACTGGCTTCACTGCAAAAGTGATTTTTATCTTGATTCATGACGTTCAGTCTCATCCACTTGTGGACATCAAATTTATATCTGAGCTCACAGTTCTCAACTCATAATCCACATATTTAAGGATCTCATATGAAAACTGCTCTTTAGATTAACAAGTCCAAAACAGGGCTTTACTTCTTTTTCAAATGCTGCTTCCCTTTCTCTACCACTTAATGGAATTACCATCCTTTCAGATCCTCACACATAAAACTTCAGGCTTATTCTTGACACATCTCTTTCTTCAACCCTATATCCAATCTGTTAACAAATTCTTATGACTCTAACTTTATATTGTATACAAGATCAAACCTTTCCCCGACACTCCTATTGTTATAACCCTGGAGTAAACACTGACTTTTCTCACTTGAATTATTACATCATCCTCCATATTGGTTCTCCTGAATTCATTTTAATCTTCTCCAATCTGTTTTCAACAAGGCAGCCAAGTAAACTTTTTACAGGTGATTTATATCATTATTCTGCTTAATAACACTGAAATAATCTAGCTTTAGATTAAAAAGCAGCTTCTCACAATAGCCTGCAAAGTCTTGGATTACTACATTTCTGAGGTCCTTTCCTATTGTTCTCCTCTTGATCCTTCTGTTTTAGCTGCAATGGATTTCCTGGTTTTCCTGGGAGAAATGAGGAAGTTCTTTACCTCAGGGCCATTGTACTTACTGTTTTACATCTCACATCCATTCTGTTAGCAAATGGAGCTGTCTTACCTTGAATTAATTTCAGGGTCTTACCTCTTGTTAACATAAAAATGTACTCATATTTTTTTCTCATGTACCTTTAGGGCTTGCTTTTTGCTCACTTAACATAGTGTCGATGAAACCTACCTTCATTGATACAAGACCTCCAACCCTCTGGGTATTCCCAAAACCCCACACTTGCTCTTTATACCTTTATTATATATCATGCAACTTAATTACTTATTGTTTTAGTTGTCTACTTCCTCATGCCAAGGTAGGAGCTCAATAAGGATAAGGGAAGAGATATTTGCTATTTTGCTCACTGCCATATCCCCATAGTCTAGAACTACACCTATTAATAATATGTAATCAAAACATAATATTCAAAGCTATAACCTTAGAGAAATGCAGCCATATTATTAAAAGAAATGGTCTGAGTCATGAGAAGTTTGGCAGTGTGACCTTGTTAATGTTTAGAAAACTTGATTTCAAAGCATACAACATCATTTTACTTGAAGGTTTTTTTAAACCTTCTTCCAGATGTTAATAAAACACAAGGGAATCCACAAAATGATAATATTAATGAAAATTATCTTTAGTTATCTGCACTATTAAACCATGGATCAATTCTCTGTAGAGTTCCAATGGCTACTCTTGAGATATCTACATGGGTATATGATGTTGAGAAAGTACTGGAGTAACTGATGTTTTGTACACATTCAGGTTTCTGTGGGCACCCTCTTTGTGGGTGGTACAAGGAAGACCCATCTTTCTTTTTGCCCAGGATTATTGTAGACCAGAATTATTGAAGATTTTTTCCAAAGCAAGTCAGGAAAAGAAGGGTGGGGGATCTATCTCATGAAAGAGGAAGACCTGCTACTATAGCAGAAGTTGTCTTGATAAGTAGATTTGACTGTGGTCAGGCTATTTCTACATCTAGTTAGTCTCTCTCTCTCTTGCATGTGCTCTCTCTCTCTCTCTCTCTCTCCTGAATATACACACATACATTCATATACTGAAACACACACCACCCTTGCCCCCACATCACTATTCAGACATACTTCTGATTTCATGCTGTAAAGTCACAGTCCTGTAGACTGTTATGGATCTTGTGATCCTTATTAGACTTTTGTGGTAAAGGAGAGGCATCTACATGAACTTTGT